TTATGGTTACTAGGGATATTATTGTATTGCTATGGTGGCTTTTGTAGTAATAATGGAGGCGTTTCAGTTTCTACATGTGATTGTTTTCCTCTGCTTCTATGAGAAGGTGTTGATCTATATCAAAAACCTATTAGCTCAAGTGGTAGAGCACTATGCAAATGCATAGATGATGTAGGTTCGAATCCTACATAGGCTGTATTTATAAATAACTATATAAAAAAAACCTTCAAAAAAAACTTGATCATCTCTCCTTTTCTGCTCAACTATGCTTTGTTCAATACTTTTTCTTTATATATCCACAGAAGATTAAACCACTCAGAAGAACTAAATTAATATGTATGTATCCCTCATCTAATTCATAAATAGAAGTTATCACCGACGACATTTGCAGTATTTCAGGTATACAATCTGCCTGCCCTGGCATTATAAGCTGCTTGTAGGTTTCTCAAATGCTGAAGAACCCTATTAGCCTGCAATACAACAAAAAGGGTAAGAAAAAAAACACTCGATAAATGATGATCAAACATTAGATCTCCTACTCTTCGCATATAAATTTAATAGGGGTCATTTGAGTTATTTGGTCAAATGATCATTGTTGGGAAGTTTTTTTTTTAAAACACCCCAAAATTAAAAGTGGGAAGTTCATTTTGGGATGGAAGGAGCAATAACCGATAACAAAAATTGTACCATACCATACCTTTTCTTTGGCTCTTGAGGTTCCGGACATGGACAAGATAACTAAAGGTGGCATAGCTCCTTCATCTAACACCCTTCTGCAGTATTTATAACTGTCTGCACAAAAATGCACAAGTGCTGCAGCGGCATTCTCTCCCCTGGGCGAACCCAACTCAATTGCCTCAACAAGAAGAGATATCCCCCCTGCTTCGGCTATAGCCTTTCTTCCTTTAGGACTCGAGGCGAGGTTTTCTAGCACAACCACTGCCTTATCGGTCATCCCAGTCGCAGGATCCATCAAGTCTATCCGATGCTTTATAGCACCTAATCTAACTATTGTGAGCCAATTATCAGAATGTGTAGACAAGTAGAACAAAGCAGTGGCCGCATCTTTCCTTCCATGGGGTGTTCCATTCCCTAAAAACTCCATCAATGCATCAATAGCTCCTGAATTCCCTACCCTAATCTTATTCTCTTCAAATACAGATAAACTATACAGAGTTGCTGCACATTTTCTCGGGCCTCAAGAGTCCTTGTCTGAAGGACATGGATCAGAGGCTCAATTGACTTAGCTTTCATAATGTTAACCTTATTGTTGTTATTGATAGACAAGTTCAGAACAGCAATGACCGCGTTTTCTTGAGTATTCATGTCTGAACTACGAAGGAGGTTAACCAAAGGGCCAATAGCTCCACAACTCGCTATTATGATTTGGTTATCCAAGTCCTTGGCTAAAATCCTGAGCTCTGAATTAGCTTCTCTTACAGTTTCAAGTGAATTACTTTTCAGATTATCTACTAATTCCTTTACACGAGCCTCAAACCTTGCAGCAACCCCATTTTGATAATCTTAGAGGAATATGAGTAGGAACTCCAATCTTGTAACAGGGGATATGCAACTGAAATTGTAATGTTTAAACATGGCATATCAATTTAAAACCTTCCTCAAATTCTCAAAACCACCCATTATTTTTCTCTAATATCCCCATATACCCCTTTTAGGTTTCTGAGTTTCTAGACCAATTGAGTGTAGTTTTCTCATTTCTTTGCTCACAGTATAAACTTGTGTCTCCACATTACATAAATGAACCTACGTGGGATTCGAACCCACATCTTTTGTGCATTTGCACAATGCTCTACCCTTGAGCTAGTAGGCTAACGTATTTAAAACATTCAAACACACTCACAAATGAGCATTAATTTGACAAAATGAGCAAGAATCATTTGCTCATTTGACAAATGAGCATTAAATAGTTTGCTCATTTGACAAAAGAGCATTGAATTTTTTTGCTCATTTGATAAATGAGCAAAAATTATTTGCACATTTTTGCTCATTTGATAAATAAGCAAAAAATTATTTGCTCATTTGACAAATGAACAAAAAATTATTTAATGCTCAATTAAATGAGCAAATAATTGTTTGCTCATTTGATAAATGAGCAAAAAATTATATGCTCATTTGATAAATGAGAAAAATATTTGCTCATTTGATAAATGAGTAAAAAATTATTTGCTCATTTGATAAATGAGCAAAAAGTTAGTTGCACATTTTATCAATATAAAATGTGTTTCCTAATATCAATATTTTTACATTCATTCCTAACAACTAACCAAATTTTACTTACAACGAAACAGATAATTCTGCTGTTTAGAAGGTATAGGAACTTCAGAGTCCATGTTCGCTTATTGTTTTTCCTATGTGGTTCCTAACCACTCAGGAAAAATATACGTAGTACTATGTATTTAAAGTTGAAATTTAAATAGCAAATCATGAAATTCTGCTGGTGCAATGACAAATTCCCAAAGTTATATGCTCAGAACAGCTAAACCTTCTCTAATCTTGGTGTTCAAATTATTTTGTTAAAGTCGCATGTTAACCTACTCTAATCAACTCCTAAAACAACATACCAAAAAGGTGTGTTGTTTTTAAAAGAAAACAGAGAAAGTAGTAACAAGAAGCATCACATTGGTATTCTAAGGCTTAAGTTAACCCGTAGTCCCATAATAGAGCATTGATATTTTAAGTGATAAATAATACGATACAAAAGGTGTAAGTTAAGTGCACAAATTTGACTTATATTGATACAAACCATGTTGTACCCTGTAGTCCCTAATATATAAAATGTGGAATGTTGGTATTGAGTAAATAAATATTCTAAATAGCATTAACACATCAGCCCTACAATAATAAACAGAGCTCTGCTAATCACCGAAACAAAAGTTTAAGAGCATATAAGCATATTTCAATTAAAAAGAGAGAGAGAGAGAGCAAACCTGTCCCGATGCATAATCCCAAATCCTGACATGCTCGTCTTTACTGCCTGTGTAAAGCTTATCCCCTGATGGCAAAGTGATCCATGAGATTGAAATTAACAGAGGATTTTTGATCATCAAAGACATGAGCTTGTGACCACTCATTCTGATTACCTTCCTTCCAGATTATGACCTTTCCATCATAAAAACATGAAGCCAGGATCAACCCAAACTTAGGATGAGCCAAAGTAGGAAAGTCCCCTTACAAAGTTACAAAGGCAAGTCACAAGATGTGAGGTAAGTCAAGACAGGAAAGCACAACCAGCATTTCCCCAGTGGATCCTAGAGATCCTCGATCAATTAAACAGCCTTTTCAAGTTCAACATAAAAGCACCAGCCGCATCACATTGCACATGATATGTACTTGTCTAAGTCACACTGATACACTATGGAGGCTACTGTACTTATTTACAGCAAAACTAAAAATATGAAAACTAGATGGATCATTCAATTGTTACCCAATAAACCATGTGAGCAATATTTGAAAACAATGATTAATTAGTAGTTTTATTTTACTTTTTTTTTTTATTTTACGAATTAGTTCGTGATCACTCAATAACATGTGTCATTACTCAAGACGACAACCTCATAAAATGTTGTATTTTTAACCATAGTTACACGAAAACTTTCATATTAAAAGTATCAACTATTCTCCATAAAGTCATTCTACATGCACTGGAACAAGACATCAAAAAATGTATACGAAGTTGATCGGGAGGGTAGTCTACTGGTAGTCAATGTTGTACAAGACCCTCAGTCAACTCCATGGAAGATTGATCATACATAATTGTTGACTTCCCTTTTCATGTTTTTACTTCTATCTATCTTACACTTAGCAGGTGTAAGATAAAATTTAGAAAACGTACAGATGAAATCACATTAAGGTATTAGCCTAACTCATCAAAACTACTTCAACAAACTCCTAATTCAGAAACGCCCATATAAACCTACATTCCTACTTCTGTAACAGTACCATTTTATCTAAAACAAACCTTTGTTAATAATCAGAACATATTAAATTCCTTCGACAATATAAAATCCACATAACTCAAATCTCTCAGCTCCTCAAAACATAAAAGTAAAATTTTATACCAACTCAAGACACACCAATGCCATTTCATATGAAACGTTTAGGAATCATCATAGTCCATTCATGTCAAAATAAAATGAGCAAATTAAAATAAAATGAGCAAATTAAAATGAGTAAATTAAAATAAAATGAACACCATTCATCAAAGTTCATACATCATTGGCAAAAATGAAATACATTGATTGTAATCACCGTATTTTACTTCTAAAGTTCCAGAATACAAATGAAATACATAACACAATTCTGCAATTGCTCAATTACAGTGAAAAAAAATCGAAAAATCAATAAATTGATTGTATTGACAGATAAAAAATGCTACAAAATAAAAATCAATAAATTGTTACTTACATTCTTCCTTCATAGGTAAGAGCTGTAGATTTTGCTTCGTTGTTGGGAGCTTGTGTTGAATCAATTTAGCAATTCACGATTTCTAGGGTTTAAAGTGAAATCGGAAAAAATTATTAACTAACAATATTTAAAGATTGAAGCCAAAAATCGAATAATAAGTAATTATTACAAACCTAACAAAATAGTTGAAGATTCAAGCTAAAAATTGATGATAATGAGGCATTACAATCAAAGAACTATCGGAGAGGAGAGAGAAAGGAAAAGCTCGATCAATTTCTAGAGGGAGAAAGAGAATTAGCTGCAACCATTTTAGAGAGAGAAAGAGCTAGACTAATTTTTATAAAGTTTCTTATATACAACTTAGAAAGTTCTTTTATTTACTAAAAGTGCCATTACTTTGACAGGATAGAGTATGGAGCGTTGGATCTAATTTGATCCAATGGCTATAAGTTGTTCTCACATATGATGGGTTCTCATATAAGAAAGGGGTTCTCACATGATCTCATTTCTATATATATATATATATATATATATATATATATATATATATTAGAAATTTATTGTCATTACAATTATTTAAAAACCGTGCATTGTACGAGATTTAATCTAGTTATTACAATAAGCTATTACAATAACTTTTATTAGGGCATTAAATTTTGACTTGCTCCATCTCTAATACACTCAATAGGGTTTCCATATTACACCAAGATGATCCTCCTCCTTCAACCGATTTCCTGGCAACCTCACTTAACTCCTTTACCGTCTTCCTCACTTTCTTTCCCATCTCACCTTCCATCAACTCTTTGACCATTTTACTCAAACCATCCCACTTAACAAACCCTCTTGGTGACCCATCTATGGTCTCAACTCTCACTCCCACCTTGATCTCCTCGGCCACCATCTTCGCATTCAAATGTTGTTCCGCCATCATAGGCAAAGCCAAGATCGGTACACCTGCACAAATGCTCTCTATCGCCGAGTTCCACCCACAATGACTTAGAAACCCTTTTACACTTTTATGTTCAAGTACTTCCCTTTGCTCTACCCATCCTCTTACAACCAACCCTCTTCCTTTCATTTTCTCCTCAAACCCTTTCATAACTTCTTCTTGGCTAGGTTTTATCCTTAAAGCCCATAGGAAACACGCTTCCGATTTTTCGACCCCGGTTAAAATCTCCTTCAGTTGTTCATTACTTATCTCAGCTTGTGAGCCGAACGCAACGTACATGACAGACTTTCCTTCATCCCACTTTTTATCCAACCATTTGTTCCATTCAGGCTTCTCCGGTCTCTCTAACGTTGTTTGTTTCTCAGCCAAGCAAAACGGGCCAACACACCAAGATTTAGGCCCATCAGAGATTGAGTTCATGAACTCCACAAATGGTTTCTCAAGCTCTTGAAAAGTATTAACAACCATACCGTGACTCAATGAAGTGGCATTACCACACTTGACAAAAAAATCAAACTTTGGGTCTTGAGGATCAAAATCTTGTTTAAAAGAGCTATCAAAATCATCTTGTTGAACCTTAATCCAAGGAAAATCTGGTACTTGGATCAACTCGTCTTTAGACTTGAGCTTCGAAAAAAGCTTATGAACGAATACAGACCTATACAAAGAAAAAGAGTACACATTCATACCATAGAAGACTAATCTACGGATGTTAAACTTAGCAGCTGATGGTTGAGTCCAGTAGAGAAAGCCATCAGAAATGAGGAAACTAATGGGGTTGTCTTGTTTTTGTATATTTTCAAGGGCGCTTTCGAAATGAGGTTGGATTGTTTCAGTTGCGAAAGCAAATGAGTGAAAGAGGGACATAGACGGGAGTCGATCAGTGCTTTCGACTCCCATTGGAATGTCATCGTTGGTGGATGAAAAGGGAAAGGAGATAATGGTGACGGTGTTAGGTGGGAGCGGCGAAAGCGAGGCCGAGATGAAGGGCTCGTTAGCCGGGGTGGTGAAGATGGTGAAGGTGGCTTTGGGTCGATGGTTGTGTATGAATTTGGTTAAGTGTAGAAGAGGAATTGTATGGCCTTTAGACATGAAGGGGAATAACGCAATGTGTAAATGTTGAGGTGTTGTCATTGCTCTATTTTCTTACTTTGTGAATAATTTCTTTCTCAAAATGTGATTGTAACAAGTAACAAGATCTTGAGGTGTAGTATATATGTAACGACTCATTGATAAAGACAATATATTTATGTGCATGTGCTTCTAAAAGTAGGGTTGTACATTATTCAAACAATTATGTACACATACTGCCACAAGTGATATGTATAATTAAGCATGCTAGGTAGATATGCCAATTAAGTGTTGTTGACTCACTTGGTAGTACTTTAAATCTTAGAGGTATAGGGTTTAAATCATACTAAATACTGGTAATTGGGGGTAGGGATTCCCTTATCCTCCCCCCTACTCTTAAATGCCTAGCCCGCAAATACTAGACCAAACAAATCGTGACAATCTGCTAAGTGTTGGCTTATGTGGTCACAATGTCTAGTTCAAGCTTGAATTGCCAAATCGTAAACAAATTAAAATGAATATTAGTACTTTGTATTGCATCCTTACCTAAATATTCTCATATGTAAAAAAATATTTCAAAGATAGAAATTTAGAAATAAATATCAGCATGAATTGAAAAATAACTAGCTATGTTTAGATCGATCTACACAATAATTAGAAAATATATGGTCAATACGGAGTATGATAAATTTCATCTTTGAACACTTATTTTAAAGTATCGTCCTAGCTCAGTTTAGGGATTAGTGAGGTAGGCTTTTTAAAAGTGTGAGAGAAGGATAGGAAAATCCCTTTCCAAATACTTTTAGTTAGATTTGATCTCACAATCTCGAGATAAGTTTTTTTTTTTTTGGGTTAAATACAAACTTGTTCACTATCTCTAGTTTTGCTGCTTCTTCTTTTTGGGTAAAGTGAGAAAGAAGAAGATGTGGTTGGTAGATATGAAAGTGAAATGCACTACAAAAGTACTAATATATCATGTGGTGGAAATTATAAGGCTATTTACTCTTTGTTTCCTTGCGCACGTTAATAAGGAACAATAAATGAATTACGTCGGTGTATGAAATTGCGTGTGCGAATTTATTGAGTATTGAAGAAAGACAATATCAAAGTTTGTTGGACCATAATCAACTTCGAAAGAGAAATTAAAGTATCTATGGTCTGGCGGTTCGGTTTGACCTCGGTTTGAGTCGGTTTCGGTTTGGAGCGGTTCGGATTGAAACGGTTTAGTTTAGTTGGCGGGTCGGTTTGGTTCGGTTTGGGTTAGTCACAGCTCGGTTTGGTTTCGGTTTATTTCTTTGCGGTTTAAATTCGGTTTGGGTCATAAGCGGGTCGGTTTATAAACGATTCGGATTATGTCGGTTCGGTTTGATACGGGTCGGTTTAGGGGGCGGGTTTACCCGGGTCAATGTCAGTTCGGTTTACAAACGGTTTGGATCAAGCCGGTTTGGTTTGAAATGGGTCGGTTTAGGGGCGGGTTTACCCGGGTCAATATCAGTTCGGTTTATAAACGGTGCGAATCATGTCGGTTCAGTTTGAAATGGGCCGGTTTAGTGGAGGGTTTACACAGTTCAATTGGTTCGGTTTATGAACGGTTTGGATCATGTCGGTTCGGTTTATAAGCGGTTTGGGTCATGAATTCATGATTGTTTTAAAGATCGCGTCATGACCATGATTTAATGAGTTGATACTTATAATACGATAAATCGATACTTAAGAATGTACAAGTATTCAATTAGATTGATCAATAAGTGTTTTAAACTTTTAAGTTTTAATAATCAGATATGTAAATATGTTTATCGATTGTAGTACATACCAATAATTCAATGAGGCAATGATACTTATGATAGTATGATAATGACACCAACCGTACATTCGTACAATATGATATACATAATAATTAATCTATAATTACATATACATTAACAATATCGTATTGAATCAATTTCCATTTCCAAACATTGCATTTCTTATAAATTATAACTTACACGAGATTAAATGGATTCGTTATTTAGTTTGTTACTTTATTTAGATTACTAACTCAAACAACTTAATAAGTTAAATGGACGAAATCACGAAATCACTAATTAAAGTGGTGATGAAATCATTATGCAATACTAATGTACGAATAGTCAAATATACAACGGTTAGATTGAATGCCCATGAAAAACAATGGTTAGATTTTCATTACTTTATTAGTTATTAGTATTATTACTTATTAAGTTATTATTAGTTTATTATATATACTGATATACAGTCACAGACTCACAAATATATATAATATACATATAGAGATGTCAGATATTGATGTGCATTAAGTCATTAAGTCATTAACTATGTTGTATTGAATCAATTTCAATTTTGAAACATTTGCGTTTCTTACAATTTATAACTTATAAGTAAAAAACTAATAATAATAATAATAGTAATAATAATAATAATAATAATAATAATAATAATAATAATAAATAATAATAATAATAGTAATAATAATAATAATAATTATAATAATATTATAATAATAGTAGTAGTAAACTAGTAATAATAATAATATTAACAAATAATAATAATAATAATAATAATAATAATAATAATAATCCCTCAAAATAATAATAATAATAAATAATTAAAAAAAACGGTCAAAAAGACCTAGAAAAGCACAAAAAAAAATCTAGACCGTTAGATCTAGATGAAATGATGAATATTCTGGAATCTACAAAAAAAAAAAAAAATGAACGGTTAGATGTTGAGATTGAATATGGACGGTTAGATCAACTGAACAAGTAAAACCTAAACCTAGAATCTCAAGTCCACTCTATCAGCCATTCAGCCGTTTTACTCACTCTTCTATTCTCAATCTGTCTTAGTTTCTCTCTCTAACTTCTCAGTTTCTCACTCTTTCGTTCTGAAATTCTCAAGAATCTTAAGCTCAACTTCTCAACTTTTAAAAATCCTAATTAGGGTTTTTGTTTTCGTTTCATTTGTGTTTTGGATCTACATTTCTGATTTCTCGCTTTACATTCTCATTTTTTTGTTTTTTCAAATCTTCCTCTCCTTCAATTTGAAGGTTTCAAGCCGTCAAAAGTTCAAAACTCAAGGTAATTTTTTGTTAATTTTTGTTGTTTTCGTTTGATTTTTTTCGTTTTTGTTTCGGTTTGTTTATTTAGGGTTTTTGTTTTCGTTTCATTTTTGTTTTGGATCTAAGTTCTGATTTCTGACTTTTTCATTCTCGTTTTTTTTTCAAATCTTCCTCTCCTTCAAGCCGTCAAACCTCAAGGTAATTTTTTGTTAATTTTTGTTGTTTTCGTTTTGATTTTTTTCGTTTTCGTTTCGGTTTTTTACTTTTTTTATTTAGGGTTTTTGTTTTCGTTTCATTTTTGTTTTGGATCTAAAGTTCTGATTTCTGACTTTTCCATTCTCGTTTTTTTTTTTCAATTCTTCCTCTCCTTCAAGCCGTCAAACCTCAAGGTAATTTTTTTGTTAATTTTTTTCGATTTTTTTCGTTTTCGTTTCGGTTTTTTTTTTTTTATTTCAAGTTCTGATAATCTACATTCTTGATATTTTCTTTTGATCTCCATCTTCAAATCTCCTTCAAGCCGTCAAAGGTAATTACTTTTTCCTTTTCGTTTCTTTTTTAATACAGTTTTTCTGTTTTTGTATTTGATTATTGTTGTTGTTCTTGCTTGAATATAGTCGAAATATGCCTAAAATCTGTTGTTGATTGTATTTTTGTTTTTTACGGGAAAAAAATGGTAGATTTGTGCTGTTTTGTTGTTTATTATGCTCGATTTAAAAATAATGATGATGGGTTGTTCAGATTATGTGATTATTATTGTTGGAAAACATGCATTGTTTATTTATTGGGATTTTAGCTTTATATTTTTAAGCCAAGGATTGTTGTCCTAATCTTGGTTGATTTCTTAATCACTTATTGGCTTTTTACCTAACAAAAGACCAAATTGTGTCACTTTCTGCAGTTATGTGCATAAAATAAATGCTAGTTTAGGGCTAGTAAAATAAACATCTCATGTTTATTTATAGGTTCATAATTTCATTGGAAACTTTTGAAAAAGTTTAAGCTTTTCTTATGTATGCTTTTTTCTTTTTGAGGATATATAATTTGACTTTTCATTTGTTTTAGATTGAGCATTGATAAATTATTAGTAACTATTAGCTGAAATAATCCAATAACTGTGGGTGTCTTCTATCCTCGTATTAGCATCCTATGTAATTCTATTCTAGTTCTAATGTAATGAATGGATATGAAACGTGATCGTCGTTCTGTCATTGTGCTATTAAGGAACAACCAGGGACCATATGTAAAGTTTTAATCTTTTGGCAGTACTTTTAAGAATTTAAATATCATATAGCTGTTTTTTTACAATTACTTAGTAAATATTTGGTCCAAATGAAATGTTGATTTTTGCTAGTAGTACATCTTGATTTGAGGCTAAATTAGCTGTGATATTAGTAGTAAGTGTAAAGATTTTGTTTTCTTCTTACCAACTCTCTTTATAGTAAAGTAATAAATCCAAAATAGAATGAGGCAATTGTTTTCTATTTTCTGAAAAGAATTAAAATATGATGATACTTGTGCAGTTGTGCTTCATGCTTTGGTCCATACTCCATAAAAAATGATGGTTGACCATACTGTCAATTGCATACTTGTAATAATTGGCATATTTTGTACTCAAGAATAAATTTATCCATTGAAATTCAATTGTGGGTCCTTATGCCTTACTGAAAAAATGACTTACCAGGGGAATCATGCATGCTATGTGGAAGCCACAGAAGTTCAAATACATTTATCTACTTGCAACTTTTTATGTTTTCACCCTTACACTACCTTCTGTTGTTGCTGTCTACCTTTTTATGATATGAGGATTTTTTTATTTAGTTTTTAGAGGGATGTAATTTTTGTTCAAATTTAGTTTTTGTGTATATGATCATGATGTTGAGTGTTCATGATATTTAGTTACCATTACGTACTTAAAATGTATACTTGTATGATTGGCTTAAAGTTGGCTTAAAGTTAGTACTTAAAATGTACACATATGTCAGTCACATGAGACAATGCATGCTTAATTGCTCACTATTAGTAGAATCTGTCACTTAATTTGGTACTTATAAATGCTGTTTTTTTTTGTTTCAGTCATGTCTCGCGAGTATGATGAATTTGACTATGAGAGGCAATCAAATTTTGATACTGTTAGCTCTCAAGCTGCCTTTGTCCCACTCCCGGTTGATGATGCTAGTAATACCGGCACTATCAATCCTTCTGTTAATAAACGTCAAAGAACCGCAGGTATATGGAAGCATTACACTTTTTTTGTAAAGACGATAGGTAATGAAAAGATAGATTATGCTCGTTGTAATTTGTGTGGCAAAGAATATAAAGCACCTGGTAAAGCGGGTACTTCAACTTGTAGAGCTCATATTAATGCATGTTTGGAAAAGCATGGTCTCCAGTCCGATAACGAATCACAATTTGATCAAAAAACTTATTTACAAAAGTTTGCTAAAGCTATTATCTGCCTTGCATATCCTTTAAATATTGTAGAGCATGAATATCTTAGGGAACTTCATGCATATTTGAATCCTAAGGTGCAGCATGTTTGTAGAAAAACTATGTTAAAGTATGTTATTGCTGAGCATGATAAATATAAATCCTTGTTGCATGAGTCTTTGGCTAATGTTTCTGGTAGAGTTAGCTTTACATGTGACTTGTGGACTGCATGTACTAACCGAGGCTATCTCACTTTGACTGCTCATTATGTTGATAACAGTTGGTCTCTTAGGTCTAAAATTTTAAATTTTAGATATTGTGGCCCTCCCCATACTGGTGTTGAGGTTGGAAAGTTTGTGTTTAAACTGATTAAAGAGTGGAAACTTCAAGGTAAGGCTTTTTCAATGACCGTTGATAATGCTCGTTCTATGGATGTTATGGTTGAATTTTCTAAAAAAGAATTAATGCAATGCTCTCCTCTTCCTTGTAATGGGAAATTCTTTCATGTTCGATGTTCAGCTCATGTTTTAAATCTTATTGTTCAAAGAGGTTTAAAAGAAGTTCATGAAAGTGTTGAAAAATTGCGTGAGGTTGTTAAATATATTGATGCTTCTGATTCTAGATTAACTCAATTTGAGAATGCTTTGTCTGAGTTAGACTCTGCTTTTAATGGTAAGTTATGTCTCGATGTTGTGACTCGTTGGAATGCCACTTATACAATGCTCCGAAAAGCCTTAGAAGCTAAGGATGCCTTGATTCTATATACTAGTAGGTTTTTGGGTATTTCTTATAGACTTGATGCTGATGAATGGGATACCATTCAAAAAATTTGTGATTTCCTTCAGCCATTTAATGATATAACTGTGTTATTTTCTGGTACCGAATATCCCACTTCTAATTTGTATTTTGTTAGTGTTTTAAAAATTGAGTACGCTATTACTAAAGCCTTTAAAGACCCTAAACTTGCACCCATGGCAGCAGTTATGCTTGAGAAGTTTGAGAGTTATTGGGAGGATTATAGTTTGATACTTTCAGTTGCTATTGCTCTTGATCCTCGTTATAAGTTGTTTCGAGTGAGACATATGTTGAACCTGTTGTATAATGATGAGGCATGCGACGAAAAGATTATGATGATTAAGGAAGCTTTTTATGACCTTTATAAATTTTATTCTACTGCATCTAATACAAGCTGCAGAAATCCTGCCTCTTCAAACACAGCTCAATCTGAAAATTCTAATCGCACGTTGAGATCTCAAAATATGTTCACGGTATTTATGTTATACAATATACTCAAAATCTGACAAAAATTTAGGTATTCTTCGAAATTTTTTCTAGATAAATTTTTTAATTTTTTTTTGTAATTTCTAACTTAGCTTACTAAATTTTGTTAAGTTTATTGAATTTGATGTAAAGGAAGTACGATCTTTGATGAAATTGAAGTAAATTAAGCAGAAATCGAACTGATTAAAAGGTATAGTCGATTTTATGTTGTTTCAACCTAAATTTGTTGCAAATTTATTTTAATTTTGTTCTTATTTTGTCTATCATGTAGTTTGGACCTAATTTTTTGTATTTCAGCAAATTTGTTTTTAATTTTGTGTAATTTGGTTTGAATTTACTTATTCTTATTTCAATTATTGCTGTTGATTTCTTAATGCACACTAAGTGTTTGACAAAATGCCTTAATGAATCCTATTATTTAATCAATTGCAAATGTAGATAGAAACAAAGTAAACGTAAATCAATTTTATTTTATAGTAAATTGAAAAACTAACATTGTGATATATAATATATGAGCTTTCAAAATCAAAGGGAATGTAGATTTTGGAATTCTTCTGTTGCAAATCGAAGTGAGATGGATTGATTGTTGAATGTGCTAGAATGTTTTTGCTAAGATAATGGTAGAAGTTATAAATTAACTTTTAATTGATTTATAATAACATTATGGTAGACGTTGTTGCTGTTGTGTTAGTTTTGAGGAGGCAGTAGGAAGATAGTTGCTTGTGGACTACTTTGTGTTGTTGTTGTGGTGTGGATAAGCTGGCAGCAAGATTGATGAGAGGAGAGTGTGGATTTTGTGTAGGTTGAATTTTTATTTTAGAATCTGTAAAATTATAAGTGGACTTGAATATAATTCCACTAAAAGTAAACTAAATATTTTTAATAGTAGATTAATGCTCAAAAAGTAGATAAGCAATGAGTTTATGATTGAGGATTTTTCCTCCCTGTAATAAGTAGATAGAAATATGATAAGAGTAAATAAAAAGAGGGGTGCTGGCATGCCCCTTCCTATAGCCTGGTCACCGCCTGATGAGGGGTGGGGAAAGCTGAATGTTGATGCTGGAGTTGTAGGGGAGTTAGGGACTGGTCTGGGGGCAATGTTGCGTGACAGTAATGGCTCGGTTCAGGGCTGTTCTGTGGTGCAGGGCATCGAGTGATGGGAGACAAATGTAGCTGAAGCTATGGCTATCATATGGGGTATGAAATTTGCGTATGACTTGGGCTAGAGAAGTATTATTGTGGAAGGAGATTGCCTTGTTGTCATTCAGGCTTTGAGAAACAAGTCAGTAGGATCAAGCTCATTGCATTTAGTTTTAGAGGTTATTTATTAACTTTTCAGATAGTTTGGTTTACTTTTGAGTTATTTTTCCTTACTACGAAGGTATTATATACACTAGCTTACTATTGGCATTATAAAAGAAACGAGAGTATGGATTTAGGAGGCTCCTCCTTGTGTAATGGATGTTGTTATGCTATATTCTACTAGCATTTCTTAATAAAATTTGTTTCCCCTTTTTGGCAACAAAAAAAAAAGGTTCTCATGATGAGAAATACATCTGTTGTCTCTAAAAGTAAATAAAAAAGAACATAAAGTGAATAAAAATGACTTTAAAGCAAACCTATTAGCTCAAGTGGTAGAGCACTATGCGGATGCATAGAGGTGTAGGTTCGATTCCTACATAGGTTATCTCTAAAAATAAATATAAAACACACTAAAGTAAATCAAAATATCTCAAAAGTAAATTAAAGTAGCTAAAAAGTAATTTTAAATAACTAAAAAGTAAATCAAACTAGCTTACAAAAAAAAAAAGTTCTCCAAGTAAAAGTAAACGAATTATATTTTAAAGTAGACGAGTTAGTGTTACAAGAGTTCTTTAATAAGGTCCATAAGAAGCAAGCAGTGGTTTCTGCCAATGATAGCTAAGTTTGATAAGAGCAAATCTATGCTCTAGATGCTTGTCTTCTCACAAAGCATCTAAAAACATTCGGTGACATTCAATGGGAGATAACAAGCAAGGTTTGGGGGAGCTATTATGTGATGTTGCTATGCTTTGCTCACCCAAGTCCCATGGCGTGCAATAAAGCAAAGGCGGGAAATTCTCACGTTAGTGTGGTTGTTAATAGCTCATCTTGGTTTACATTGGGTCTGAAAATACAAAAGATGAATAAGGTTGGAAAATGTGGATTCCTATAGTAGTTTTCTAAAGTAAATAAAAAAGTATTTAAAGTGAATAAAAAAGACTCTAAAGTAAACCTATTAGCTCAAGTGGTAGAGCACTATACAGATGCATAGAGATGTAGGTTTGATTCCTACATAGGTTACCTCTAAAAGTAAATACAAAACATTCTAAAGTAATTCAAAACATCTCAAAAGTATATCAAAATAGCTAAAAAGTAAACCAAAAATAAATATTATTTACTTAAAAGTAAATAATATTAACTCTAAAGTAAATAGTATTTACTTAAAAGTAAATTATATCTACTCACAACTATTCAGCCTAGGATGCACATTGCTAAAAAGAAAAAGCATGGTATTAGTTTACCAACATGTTTATATCTTTAATCCTTAGATAAGTGACCTTGAGTTTCTAGTAATAAAAGTAGATACAAAATAAGTTAAAGTAAATAAAAAATTTATTAAAGTAAATAGAAATGAAATTCACCTTCTCTACTTCTAAAATAAGGAAATTGCAAATGCTTATTGACAATCTCTAATTGCTATAAATGCTTAAAAATCTAGTATAAGTGATAGAACCTTCTGATACCTTTAATCCTTGGATAAGTAAGCTTGAGTTTGTAAGTAATAAAAGTAGATACAAAATAAGTTGAAGTAAATAAAATATCTCTTAAAGTAAATACAAATGAATTTATATGGGATTCGAACCCACATCTTTTGTGCATTTGCACAATACTCTACCTCTTGAGCTAGAAAGCTAGTGTATATAAAGTTGACAATAATAAAATGAGCAAAGACAACATCAGCAACTTCAAAATCAGTTGCTAAGACCAGATGAAATTTCCAGTTTAGAAGCCTTGGAGGTTCTAGAGAGACGAGTGATCCATGTTTCATGAGAATCTACTAATGGAAACTTGAGAGGGTATAGACCTTCAATTGATCACAGACAATCACACCATAACACTAATTGGTACTCTTGTCCCCTAAAGTGCCCTTGAAAAAGAGAAGAAACGTTTATTTATGATGTTCGGTTGTGCATAACATCTTACTATAGATTTTTAACAAGAAATTTCCACACATTGTGCTACATAAGTACGGAATTTTACCATATTCTGAAATCTAATCTAATGAGAGGAACTGCCTGGGTAACAGTCGGTTTTTTTTTCTGCACCATAACTCCATGAGTGCTTTGTCAATGTTGAGCAATCACAAGACATCATAAGCACAAAACTGAAACAAGAATCACAAGACAGCATAAGCATCATGAACTAGTTGTATATAAACTAGATATCAACAACAAAGTATATAACTAAACCTGTACCATTGATGATATCATTTGTCTTATCTCACTGGGGGTTCCCGATAGTTCTTAGTTGCTCAAATAGCTAAGCTGTTCAAAGGTCTCAAACTTTAGTTTTATAGCTCAAACTATTTACATATAGTAATCCCAAAAACAAGAAAATTTTTAAAGTAAAGAAAAATTACTCAAAAGTAAATAAAAAATTATCATAAGTAAAGCATAAAATTTATAAGAATTAAATGATGGAAATCTCTCATGCTTCAATCACCTTGTATTGATATTGAAAATCAAGTACATATCAGTAACATACAAAGCAAATATATATAGTTGACAGACATATATAACCACGTACATGAAACATGAAAAAGAATAATTAATCGATAGCACAACTATACCCCAACTCTAACATCTAGTTTAGCTCATTACAAGCCGCAGTTGCATACTCTCAATATGAATATATTTATACCCAGAATTCAAAAGCATATCCATTCAAATAGACCACTAATTTAGAGGAATCAACCAAAATAAAAGTAAAACTCCGATTCATTAATAGTACCTCAGTCGAACATCTGATTCATATAGATAAGACCTCAGTGGAACAAATAAGAAAAACAACATCAAATCATACAAAGATCAAATATTATTGATACCAAATTATAAAGTAGAACTCAAAATTACTAATTCAGAACAGTACAATTGTCTAAACCATAATTTTTGCAATCGAAATCGCATATCCTTGATTTTCAAAAATCGAATTAAATCAAAGAAAACAACAATAATCAAAATCAAAATTCCGGATGAAAAAAAGTTAAAAATTCGATAATTATTAGAAGCTGACAACATATCCATGGAAATCCATTAAAATCGAAACTCAAACTTAAACAACAATTCGAAACGACTAAAACACAGGGAAATTAAGCAACAAAGAAAAATCGCAAGAAAGATTAATAAGAATCGCAACAAAAAATAAAAATTAAATTCTCTACCTTGGACTGAAAAATCGCAAGAAAGATCAATAAGAATCGCAACAAAAATAACCAAAATAACAAATTCCTCAAACTGAAAATAACGAAAACCCTAATTTAAGACAGGAAATCATAAAAAAATCAAACAATTATAAAACAATTGAATTAAACACAAGAACATCACAATCAAATAACTTACTTGTCCAGTATCAATTTGCAATGAAAAAAAAGCGAAGAAGAAAAGCAAATCCAACGACGATAAGAGCGCAGAAAAATTCGAAGCAAGAGAGAGAATTAGAGAGAATTCAGAGGGAGAGAGAGAAAATGAAATGAAGAGAGAGAAAGTAAAAATGAAATTTAGATCATTTGAAGAAAGTCATTCAAATCGCAAGTTTACCATTTTGCCCTTAATGAGGTGGGTGGAATGTCAGCCATTAGATTGAGCGCGATCAACGGTCTTGATGAGTTCCTAGTTCCTATTATTCACCTTGATTCTCACCTGATCTCAATCCTATATATATATATATATATATATATATATATATATATATATATATATATATATATATATATATGTATATATGTACGGGGAGGTTCCGCTAAAAACAGAGCTTATGGTGAAAACTAAAAACAAGCAATCTTAGTCATTCATTACTAGCACAAAAGATCAGACGGTTCTAAAGCCCTAAGATCATTCCAACCTTACATATAATCAATTCAACCGTTTAAAAGGTCACTACATGCTTAAAATAAGGTAACTTCATCTAAATTGACGATATTTACATAGAGTCACTATATATAAAAATAACGTAACTATATACAAAAATAGGGTAGCTATATCAATTTTTACAATATTTACATTAAGGTCACTATATACAAAAATAGGGTAACTATTTCAATTTTGACCATATTTACATAGAGGTCACTATATACAAAAATAGGATAACTATAACAATTTTTACAGCATTTACATAAAGGTCACTATATACAAAAATAAAGTAACTATATCGACTGAGTTTTTGACACCATTTACATAAAGGTCACTATATACAAAAATAAAGATCACTATGTATAAAAATAAGGTGACTGAAACAAAATTTAAAGCATTTCCATAATTCTAAGGTCATTATATCGAAAATAAGGTAACTATATATGAACTTCGGGTAATTATATCAATTTGACACCATTTACCCAGAGGTCAATAAATATAAAAATAAGTATTAAAAAATTCCATGTAGGATTCGAACCTACATCCCGTGATTACACGGTGCTCGACCAATTGAGCTAATAGGCTTTCAACATGCCAAAACAGCCAATAAAAGCATACCAACATCACAGACCAACATCATACAGACTTCATACAGACTGAAGCAAAACAAGCTTGACAAGATCAACGTTTTAAAGACAGAAGCAGAGGCAAATGAAAGCATACCAGGAAATCATGATACGAGCAAGCCACCTGTATATGAGGAATCCCGACAAAATGTAGATATTGAACAGGCAGGCACCAAAAGTCATACAATCAGAGATAAATCTTCACAAAGGCTGAAGAAGGTTACTACACTAACTCCAGCTGACAAGGTAAGATCAGGAATGATAGAGCTCGCAATAACGCAAACTAGCATACTCAAGTTCTAGAAATAAATTTCTAAAGACACACTTCTACCATTTAACTAACATGTCCTTTACCCTGCATGTTTCAGGATGATAATAAAGTATCAACAGTTATTGAAGATCAAAGGGAAAAATTGATACCTGGTGAAGTACAAATCATGCATCAGATAACAGAAAAAGGTAAGCAATTACATGCCTAAAATTTTCAAGAGCAATTCTTAAAAAAAGACTCCAATTCCCCAATAAAAGAATATACCATCAGAGACTAGAGGATATGTATCCTCTACGAGTTTCTGATCCAAACAAATCTATTCATTTCCTGTCCATATTCTTTTTTCCATTTGATTCTTACACATATATATTACCATGTTCAAACACCATTTAAACCACAATTGCAAGAACAACCATCAATGCTCTTGGTTAAAGAAAGAAACAAACAAGCTTATCAAACATCCTATAGTTCATCAAATATTATCTTCCTAATATCTGATCAAGAAAAACAGATTATCAAAACTAATTTATATGTTTTAATGAAAAAGAAATAGATACTAATCCTTCACATTTTACACTGCAGATGTCCAAGAGGAATGCGATAATAACTCCTGTAATCAACAACAGAAGCACCAGGAGCCTATAAAGATGGTAAAACAAGAGCCACTCACAGAAGTTGAATTGTTCTTGAAGTAGAAACTCATAAAGAGCTTATCAAATTCTTGAATATTCCTCAATGATTCCAGCAAAATGAAAATATCATAGAAAATCAACGCAAAAATCACAAACAAAAACCAAATCCAAACCCTAATTAACAGATCTACCAAACAAAAAAAAGGAAAAAATTAATTAAACCTGAGCAGCCTTGTAGGCTGTGAGAATACTCTCAGCGGCTTCTTTCCTCTCAGCACCAGTCTTAAACTCAGCCGCAAATACCTATGATAATCTCCCATCATCTTCAAATAAAAGACCTTAGAATCACCACTACTAGCAGGAGGAATAAGCTTAGTGTCCAGAAGCTTCAAAATACCGTCACAAATATCAGAAAGCTAATTCTCAATGCGAGTGAAAAATCGTGAAAGCTGTTGATCTTCTTCTACTTAGATCTCCGTCTCATCTATCGGCGCTTCCTCTTCAATCTCCTCATACGCTTCTTCTTCCACTGCAAAAATCAATCAAATCAACAAGTTGAACTTCAAATTAGTTAACAATGGTGGAAAAACTCAACTGAACCGAACAAATCAATGAAATTAAGGAAGAAACTAAAGTTAATCGATTAGTAAAACAGGAAATCGAACTAAATTGAACAAAATCGAACAGAAAATCGCAAAATCAAACAAAATCGAACAAAATTGATGAAAATTTCAGAAACCTTAAAACCTCAAATCATGCAAAAAATAGCGAAATTAACACAAAGAACTCACCTGATAATAGATCGTAGAGCTGAAAAATTGCTGAAATCAAAGTAATTGAAGCTGAATTTGAAAAAAGTAGCGTGAAAATTGGGGAAAAAATGTCGAGAAATTAGGAGAGAGAAAGCAGGAGAGAGGAGGGAGAGGAGGAAGAAAATAACGGAGGAGAGAGAAATTGTTTTCGTGGGAGGAGAGAGAAAATTAGTATATAAACGTTAGATGTCATCCGCTAGATTATAATCTACGGCTAGGATGAATCGTTTTCAGTTTTCATCCTAACATTTATTTTCACATGATCCATACTCTATATATATATATATATATATATATATATATATATATATATATAGAGAGAGAGAGAGAGAGAGAGAGAGAGAGAGAGGGGTTGGGTTAGGGGGGTAACCATGGATTAGAGGAATTTTAATTTTCTTTTTTTAAGGACGTTTAAATGCTTAACTAGGGGTTAAACGTGAGTTAAGGGTCTAAAGTATCTTCATAATTGGCTTAAAGTGGAGCCTAGTAGCAAATTAAAATTTTTAAAAGTTTTTGCGGTAGAAAGTCACAAGTTTTTTTTAATACGCAGTAATAAATCAAAATGACATCAATACGCGGTAGTAACTGGAAAATTACAATTAGTTGTACTACCGATTTATGTTTGAACAAATGAAATGTACTAGTAATTACATGAAATTGATTGAAATATACAATAAGACTTGAATTACTTAAAGAAAAATAACAATGAGTCATAACTTTAGTTTTTGAAGACACAATGAGTCATAACTAGTGAAACATATGAATTTGCGATAAGCTAAAACTAAGCAAATTGGGTTAAAAATTTGTTGAGTCAAAGTTTAATCAAGCCATGGTTTGGTTAGCTCTTTTCAAGTCACAAGTAGTTTTGGGTTAGGTAAACATCGGGTCAAGTTAATTAAAATGACTACAGTAAATTAAAGGTCGGGTATAAAAAGCTATTTTTTGGGTTCTAACGATTTCAAGTATACTTTAGGCTGGGTGCATCGTACATGCACATCAGGTCCAAATCGATCTTAGCTTATGGTTTGGTTAGACTACGAGTCAGATTTAGCTCATTATTTAATCAAATTGATTTTAGGCTAACTTTGGGTTGGTTCCACATTAGAGTTGTGTGTAAAAAGTGCTAATGAAGCACTTGTTAATTACCCAAGTGTTAACATTAACAATATTTTATTTTATTTCTATTATCTAATCTAAGGGAGGAAGGAGGAGCAAAATATTGATGTCCAAATTATGAAATTCCCAAAATACCCTCCTTAACTTTATTTTGTTTAATTTTGTAAGGAAAAAAAAAACACATTCAACATAATATAGTCAATAAAATATCAATAATTTGTGATTGTTGACAAAATTGAAAATATTAAAAAATGGACAAAATTGATATATCATCAAATTTTAAAAATTACTCCTTCCATTTTGTAATAATCGCAATACTTTTCTTTTATGTCCGTTATAATAATTGCAACACTTCCTTATTCGATAAGAACTCACTAATATGTTATCACAAATTCTTTATTAAGGCGGACTTTCATTAACTTATATAAGACGGGTTGAAGTTACCCTAAAATTATTTGAAGTTACCCTTATATATTGTAAAAATTGACATTTTCTTAACATAAATTTTACCCTTAAAAATAACTTATAATGTATTAAATTAATCGTATTAGATTTCATACCGTATATCAATTAGAAATTAAACATTAACATACAATCAAACTCATTACAAATTAAAAGTTACCCTTATAGGGATTAAAGTTACCATAAAAACTGTTAAGGTCACCCTATAATTGACTGTCTTATAATAACATTAACATAAGTCCACTTTATACAAGAATTATTGTTATTTTATTTATTATCACTCCTACTAATCCCACTTTCACAAAAGATTTAATTATATCTCTCCTCAATCAACCCCACATACACTACTTTTTTTTATTATTTTTCTCTCATACTAATTATACTTTATATAACTCCTTCTATCCCAGAATAACTAAGATGTTTGAACTTTTTTTCACTATTTATATTCGACTATAATTTTTTACTAACATAATATAAACATTTTATATCATAAAATATGTTGTTAGTAGGTATTAATATAAAGTTTCATAATATAATATTTTTTTTAATTTTTTTTAATATTTAAATATATAAAAATAAGGTCAAATTAGTGCATCGCCATGTGTGTAAAGTTTAACTGTCAGTTATTTTGGGACAGATGGAGTATAAACAAATTGCCCACTTACATTACTTTATTGAAGCCTACAAGCCAACTCTATATTTTCTAATGTGCACTCACTACTGTTG